TCTAGCATGAATAATGGGGGGGAACAAAGATAGTCAAAGAATGTAGGCTGTACAAATTATAGCCTGGTGAGATGGATGTCAATCCTGGGCAAGAGACTCAAGAGTACTACAAAAGCATATTGATAGTTGGCAAGCACCAGAGGAAAAAAAAGCCTCCACAATACACTGATTAGCTTTAAAAGGAAGCACTAGGGATTAGAGTACAAGTTAGTTATGATTAAATTTATCAGATATACCTCTCTCTCCCTCTCCGTTTTCACTTGATATGGGAGGTTCTATATTGGTAGATTAGAGAATTCTAATACTGCCTTGTTGGAAAAGTCAAGGCATATTTTTCTGTTTTTCTATGCAAAAATCCACCATGACTTTTCCGACAACCCTATAGATTTGGTATATGTATTTGTATAGAATGTCAGCAAAGTAGCTAACAGCAGCTCATGTCATCTTCATGGGTATAATCACTACGTACAGGCCAGACGCTCAGGTGAATTATAATGTTAACCAGTTTTGCCCAAAGATATGAATTATAAAGCCTAACAAGAGGGAAGTTTTAGATGTTTGCCTTCAGTTCTGTCATGGTGAATCTTCCATCAAGGTCTCGGAAAACACAAAAGGCATTCTTGTGAAATATGGAGATTCATGTGAAGCTGACAGAGAAGCTATTATCCTGGACTTCCCCCAGATTTTTTTACTATTTGGAGCAATGAATCAAATCTAGCAAAATAAAACCTACAAGCAAAGGTAAGATCTTTAAGGTGCAACAAAACCCAACCAGTAGTAACGCAAGGCTCTGTGGGGCTGACTCACATGTGAAGGATCTGGATTCACATCCACAGAGCTCTGAACATGCTGGATGGATGTGTGTGCATGTGCCCATAATGTGGGCCTACCTGAAACTGGGGTGAACTGCGGTGTGAATGGCCTGCTGGGGATTCCTGTGTCTGTTTTTCTCTGTCTCTCGCTCGTGGAAGAAAGAATTTATCTTTGAAAAAAGAGGCATTTATATATTAGCATTTCTAGAAAGAATAGTTTTATTTAACAGTGAATTCAGTATGAGTCAACAGTGTGCTACAGTCATACTGAATTTCCATCACACTTGTACTCTTAAACAGAAGCGCTAAAATAAGAAAAGTAGAGTTACCCAACACTGACGCATCTGGAATCCCTGTTGTGTTGACCTGCAAAATGTCCAGAATCCAACCACTTCTCACCTTTACAACACCACCCTGGTCTAAGCCACCTTCCCTGCTGTCTGGATTACCATTTTTGCCTCTCCTCTGTCTATTTCTACCATGACAACCAGACTGAGCCTTCTGGAACAAAAGTCAGACTATATTACTCTTCTGCTCAAAATCCTCTCATGGGGGCAGGTGGAGTTGTGGTTAAGGTGCTAGACTCCCACATGGTTGACCATGGTTCAAGTGGACCTGGTGGCTTGAAAAAAGAACCACACCAGACACATGTATGTGCATGTCCAAAATCCTGAGAGGAGAATGAAGCAGAAGGAACTGTGGTACCACCAACCCCTCTGGGGGTTGATTTCTTACTTTCCCTCCGACTGTCTTTCTCTAGCGAGCCCACATGCTCAATGACAACAACCTTACATAAAAATTTTTTAAAAAAGCAACTCTCTCATGATTCCTTATCACACCCTAAGTTAAAGCTGAGGTCTTGTCAATTGCTACCAGGGCTGACACCATTTGGCACCCCAGTTGCTTCCTGAGATTCGTATCTTGCCCCCTCCCTTCCCTGTTCACTCCACTGCAGCCACAAAGGCCTCCACTTCTTCTTCAAACATGCCAGATATCCTTCTGCCTCAGAGCCTTTGCATAGGCTATTCTACTTCCCCGATCAGTCATTCTCAGAGGTTCCCGTTGCCACCTTTCTCACCTTCTTCATACTGTGACCAAAAAATCACCTTGGTAAGCCCTGCCCTTAACACCCAACACAAAACTGCAACCTCCTTCCCCCTGGCTGACGTGTCCACTGCTTCCCCTGCTCAGTTTTTCTCCACAGCACTTATCTTCTACAAACTATATATTTCACATATTTGTTGGGTTTACTGTCTCCCTCCACTGAGATAAGCGAGAGACGTTTGCTCGTCTGTTCACTGCTGAATCCTCAGCACTGGGAGCATTACCTGGCACACAGTAGGCACTTAATAAACACTTGTTCAATGAATTAGAATCCTGTTCTCCCTGCAGAGACTGAACCACTGGAATAAAATATTCACTTGTAGGTGACACATTTTAAAAGTAATCTGAGGACACTGACAAGCCCCTAAAAGATAGTTAAAGGGAGGCAAATGGGAGAGGGATTACATTAGTTCTGTAAATCATCAACTTTAACCTGTATGAGAAAATTATAAGGAAGCAGTTTACAGTTCCTTCCAAAAGTCAGTTTAATCCAGAGGTAAAAATGAATCATCACAGGAGGAAATTCACTTCCTGTAAATCAAAGGACACAAACTTGACTGAAAAAAAAAAACAAAAAAAAAAAACACTTAAATAAGAAGACCTAGGTCTAGACTGTGTGTGACTACTGAAGGACAAAACAGTTCAGGAACAGATCTACAGTGTGAAAAGAGAGATATTCATACTCGAAAAGGTTAGAATTTCCTTTCATACTAAAAATAACGTTGTAAGTACCAGGGAGCCAGCACCATGTGACATACTGTTCAAGAGATAAACTGGTGCGTGGCATGGTGTCTGCTCAACAAAGCAATTATGTGATAGAGCCACATAGTGGCACAGTGGCAATATGTGACACTCCATGAGGCTGACCCACATGAGAGGGTTCTGAGTTCATACGGAGACCGCCCGGACTGTGCGAGGCATACAGTGGGGTGGTGGAAGTAGTAGGTAGATTGTGGCATCAAGGCCTTATTGAGGGTGCTCTGTCTGTTTCTTTGAGTCACGGAAGAAATAAAAAACTTACAAAAAGAATAAAGAAATGACATGAACACACTATATACTTCTATTTATAAACTGCAGTCAAAAACTAAGTTATGAGTTAGATTACCAGTTCCTACTGGAATGTCAAAAAGTCAAAATAAAATCACTGTGAATGAACTAGTTGGGAAGCTTCATGGAGGAGACAGCACTTGAAAAGGGGTTGCAAAGCAGAGGAGACGGGTCAGGAGAGGAAGGGGAAGGGGAAATGCAGCATGAGCAAAGGCCCTAGGCCGCGCACCTGTGCCAACACCAACTGCTGCAACGTGCTGCAGGGAGGGCAGGGAGGTAGGGACTAATGGGCAAAAACGAGGCAGTGGAAGTCAAATGAAGAGGAGAAGCACATATCCATGTGAAAAGCAAATATATGATACACATTATTCTCTTTTACTAAACCAACTGGGTCAGCCAGTGGTGTGGTAGATAAGGTGGCTTGATCCCATATGGCCAATTGTGTGGCCTGAGTCCTATACCTAGAAGCTTGAAAAACACAGCAGGTACATGTGGGTGCATATCTAAAATCCCAAAAGGAGAATTGGAGAAGGAATTTTGGTCTGACCATGCCCCATGGGGATTGCTTTCTTCTCTCCTTCTCTCTGTCTCTCTCTCTCTGCCACGAGTATACCTGTCCTCTACCAAATTAAAAAAAGAAACAATAAAATGAGGATTTTCAGGTTTATTTGACAGTTGTGAGCTAAACAGACTGAGAACTTTACAGGTAAACAGAGCAGCTAAGCATCTACTGCTATAAAGGAAATTGGTTGGGTTTTCAGTTAGTGTAATGGTTATATCGCTGGACTCCCATGTGGTCAACTATGGTTCAAGTCCCAGAGCCGGTGGCTTAAACGCATACCAGGTGCATGTGTGTGCATGCCCAAGATCACGAGAGGAGACTGGAGGAGAAGGCATTGTGGCGTGGTCATCCCCGCTAGGGGGGTGATTTCTCGCTTTCTGTCTCTCTGTCTGTCTCTGTCTTCCTGGTGAGCGTATGTGCCCTATAGCAAAAAAAGAATCATTTGTTTAAAAAAAAAAAAAAAGCAAATGATAAAATGAGATTAATTATTAGTTACAGAAGTAAAAAGTAAAAAAAAGAGTCAGAGACAAGCTGAGAACCATGACACTGACCGAATGGGATCTTGCAAATAGCACTCAATGGTATAAAGAAAACATGACAATTTTCATTTTACACATAAATCCATAGGACAGCCAAGCACAGACAACCAATGCAGAAGGAATGAGAGAGACAAGAGGCCAGAGCGGGGGATGCAGATGTGGGGTCAGCAGCTTAGCAGCCAAGTAGGAAAACGGAGTCTCCAAGGATGTGGGTGCAGTTTTATGCTAGGAATGATCATTTGAATTCCATTATCTGGCCAAATCACCTGCTGCCTTATATAAAAGAAAAACTCATTTTTCACAGTTCTGGTGGCCAAAAGTTCAAGATCAGTGTGCAGTATGTTCCGGTGCTGGTGAGGGCCCTCTGCTGGGCTTCATGCTGCATCATCTCATTGGAAGCTCACATGGCAGAGAACAGAGGGCACTCCAGGGGCATTAAGCCCACTCATGGGGGCAGAGCCAATCTACCAAAGGCGAATGTAATTTACCATCATACAGGGGGTTATGACTTCCACATATGAATTTGGAGAGAACGCAGACGTTCATCCATAATATCTATAGAAGCATATATTTCAGAACATAAAGTATGAACACTCCAGGTGTGTTCTGCCCAAATCTGAGAACACCTTGCTGAGGAATATGGTAGAAAAATGGGTTCAGAATAACTTGGAACCACAAGAATATGGTAACTCTGAAAATGAGACTGAAGGTCCTCACCACAGCATAGAAAGACATGTGCATTACACGGAGTAAAATATATGTAACTCTACTGGAGGTTCAGGCTACAATAACATGAGAGCTCTTTTGTTTCTCTTTGTGCACTTTTAGTTTTTCAGAATTTTCCTTAAAATTGAATCCTTATGCTCCATTCAGAATTGTGTTATCCAAACATCCACTGATAACATGATTTTAAAATAGCCACAAAAAAGATCTTACCATCCTTAGTACTGTCGAAAACAACAACTGAGACATTAGTAGAAGGGTTTTTTGGTTTCGCAACATTGAATATGTCACTGGCAGGATGAAAAGAAGGATAAAGAGATGGCAGGTCCTTCAGGGTGATGTTTGCCGGCAGGGCGGGGTCCAACACAAGCATTGGCACCTTAATGCAGTGGGTCAGCAAACATTCTAACTGCTTCTCGCTGGAAAGAAACACCAACACGCTTACAACTACATTCTTGAAATTTAACTAAATATGTAAAAGCTTGTTGGTACTACTAAATTTTTCAGTTTGTTTTCAACAGTCTGTAAGAAAATCACAATATTATTAAAATAATAAATAAGGGATTTTCTCTCAAGGATATAAAAATTTAGTACATTATAGCAAAGTATGGTATAAAATTGTTGCCACCAAACTTTACTGACTCAAAGTGTACAAGAAATTAAGCATTTCATTACCATGATGTTGAAAGATTATTGGTAATTTCAATGAAGCTTATTATTAGGCAGATGAGGAAGAAGGTAGATTCTGGTTAAGTGTCATTACCGGATACAATTCATCAATACCAGATAGAACATAATTAAATACATTGGATATGACACTACACTGTTAAAAACAAAAACAAATGTGTTATGGTTCTAATTCAAGCTTATATGAAATATTTCAATATTAATATAAGAAATATCTATAAATAAATATATATATATTTATCTATAGTAAACCTAGAAATACTGCCTTAATAAAAATGGCAATATTTATTTTTTATTTATTTATAAATTCATAAAGTGAGAACCACAACCAGTTAAACAATACAGAAGTGTTCATACTCCCTAATCAAAGAAATGCTTAAGGAAACAATGAGGTATCATCTTTTGTTTACTATAAAGCACCTCCAAAAATATGGCGACTCAGTGTTAGTGCAACCTACTCCATTCAAACTTGCTGGTGTCACTCCACAAGGAAACAACTCTTTGAGGAAGCAATTTGGTAACATATGCACACATGGTATCTAATATGCATACATTTCCATGCAGACTTATTCAGAACCAGAAAAGCCTATCAGGAAAGACATGATGCATTTTTACATAGAAAAACACAGAAAACTACATCATTACTTTCCAACAACCTAATATATATGTTTCTTCCTCAATAATCTTACTTCCAGGAATCTAGTCCAAGTACCAGAGGAGAAAATAGGAAAAAACGAACACACAGAGAAAATCCCACATACCCAGATATTAAGTATCACAAAATGTTTATTACAGAAAAGCCCAACATACGGGAAATTACAGTACAGTCACTTTATGGGATACTATACAACTATTATAAATGAGAAGTATAAAGCATGAAGATTGTGTAACAATACAGAAATTTGTATGACTATGTAAAATATAATGAAAAGGGAATAATAAAAATGGTAATAGTTATTGAATAATGGTCACAGAATTACGTGAGTTTTCCTTTTCACTTTCCCTTCAACTTTTCTCTAATGTCGCACCATTACTTTTTGTAAAATAACGTACAAGTCATTTAAAAAAACAATATTGGTACTACTCTAATAAATAAATAATGCTACATAATTAACATAAAGAAGGTACTTTTGGATCTTGAAATTCCTCAGAAGTATCTCTATAAATAACTGTTTTTTTTTTTTTTTTTTTTAACAA